ATCCAAATGAGGGTCCGGTTCTAAGGGTCCCTGATGCGGAGGATCTCCTGCCCCGGGGTCTGGGGCCTGAGGTGGTGTAGGCACGGGAGCCTCCATGCCCCCTGGGGGAGGACGGGAGATGGTGGCCTCCGGGACTCAAATTGTGCCGAGCGAGAGGCCGATGGTGGAGCCCCTTGCGCCTGATGATACGCCCACGGGGTCCAGAAAGACCAATGCGTAGGGTCCTGCGGAGGGTCCTCTGCCCCCTCCTGCCAGTGACCCAGGTCAGCGGCAGCCTGACCCTGAGCAGGGTATGCTGATCTGGAAGCCCCGTCGGATGAGCGAGACGCTGATCTCGAGGGCCAGGGCGGTGCCGAACGCGGCTGCATCGGCTCGGTCCGGTACGGTGCCGATCGGTGCCGGTCCATAGGCGAGCGGTCCCTGCGCGGTGCCGGTGAGCAGTACCGTGATCGAGAGCGGTGCCGCTGGCCATGTCGGTGCCGAGATCCAGATCTGGACAGAGATGAAGAAGACCGCCGGTAGACGTGGTGCCGGGAGCGGCCCCTCGAACTGGAGCGGCGCTCGTACCGGTGCCGAGAACTACGTCTAGACTCCGATCGGTACCGATGGTCCTGACGGTGCCGAGACGTAGATCGGTGCCGTGAAGACGACCTAGGCCACGAGTACGACTGGTGTTGGGGTGAAGGTCGGCGCCGGGACTGCGAGCGGCGTCGGGACCTGCTCCGAGACCTAGAGCGGTGCCGCGAGTCCACGCTTGGAGACGGCAGGTGTACCAGGGCAGGCTTGCCCCTGGATTGCACGGTCCAAAGAGCAGGCGGTGCCGCGGACTGAGATGGCGCTGGCTCCCTGAGGGCGATGAGGTCTTTCGCCGTCGCAAAGGTCTCCGGAGTAGACGGGAGACAGGGCTCCACCACCGAACGGGGCGGTGAGCCAGTCCACACCGGACTCAACGGCCCTACCCCTGGTGCCGAAGTCAACGGTGTTGAAGGTACCTGCGCCTTCTGACGCTCTAGAGGCGGACGCGGCTCTACCACCGGTGCCGGGGGAGCTGGTGCCTGTAGGACAGCGGCCTCCTGTGTCTTGCGGGGTCTCTTATGTCCCGGAGACAGGGAACGGCGCCGAGGCGCTTGTGGCGGACGCGGTGCCGAGGGAGGATGGTGCCGTGAGGCCTTATCCGCGTCTGCTCGCGGTGCAGTACCGGTAGGTGCCGCAGGGGCGCTGCGCACCGAGACGCTCAGTGCCGGAACTTGGCGCGCCAAGGGAGGATCTGGGCTAAGTGCCGCCTCCATGAGGAGCTGCTTGAGTCTAAAGTCCCGCTCCTTTTTGGTCCTGGGTCTGAAAGCCTTACAGATTTTGCACTTATCTGTCTGGTTGAGACTCTCCTAAGCACTTCAGACACGAGTCATGAGGGTCTCCCGTTGGCATAGGTTTAGCACAGGACGCGCACGGCTTAAAGCCAGGAGCCTTGGGCATGAGCCCGGCTATGCGCCGGGGGAAAAGGGGGGAGAAATAGCCCCCTTAACCCCCGCTAACTATTTACAACTATTAACAACAATGACTAATCTAAAGAATATAACTACAACTATCTATAAGAACTAACAGGTTAAGCTAGGGAGAGTGGAGAACAGCTATGCCGCGCTCCACAGTTCCAACGACCATCAGGGGCGGTAAGAAGGAACTGAGGGGGCGCTGGGTCGGCTGGGGTATATATCCAGCGCCATGAAGGCGCCACTCCAGGGAGCTCCACAGCCGACCCACCGGGTGTTGCTAGGGTAGAAAATTTCTCCGACGATCGTGCACGTGGCGCGCGCACACCTAATTGGAATCGATATGAGCAAGCACTCGAAGAAGAACTTAGTCTTCTAGTGGTACATTCTTAAGTACATTCCGCTTTTGTATGTCTTTGTGATTAGGGCTGAGAGATACACACTCTTGCAAAATGGTCGCTTTCATTGCATGCATGACACTGCACTCCTTAGGCTGTATACTTTTGCATCATGGTGTGGTTGTCTTGACCTTTATTTGCAAACAAGTCTAGTCTCTGCCATTTGTTTAGACTTGTATACTGTCTGTGTGTCTTGGGTTATAGGTCTAATTAAATGACCCCTCCCCCGGTTTGCTAACACTTTCACTTCAGAAGGACAATTTTCAATAAACTTGCAAATATCCTCTATTCTTTGAAAGATCAAGTCCTTTTCTTGCAACTATCTGCTTTGACCCTTTATACCACTAATAAATTGGTCTCCAAACAGTTCACCTGTTAAGTGTCCAAATTCACATGACTTTGCTTTATTACACAGGTCTGTAATATAATGGTCAGTGGTTTCACCTGGCCGCTAGTTGCCTGTACAGAAAATGTGCCTTTGCCCGACATTCTTGAATGAATCCTCGGTATTTTTATAACTTTTGAATTGCTCTGTCTAGCAGTTTGCATCTCCCGATGTGCTCCCACAAACTTATTCACTTCTTTTACCCTTGATACTTAATGTGGGATAATGATTTACCTGCTAATATATCCACACTGACTGCTTTCACTTATTAAAAAAATGCAAACTAATTATTGATCCCACAAATACACTTTTATTTAAGGTTGTATATCCTCAAAAATTTGCACAAAATACCACAGTGTATATGTTTTTATTGAGTGTTTTTTTCCCAATCAACAAAATATGTGGAAAAAACTCCACTGCTTTGCTGCCTGACCTGGAGCCTGATGCTGACAAATGCCTGGTAGGGTGATAAAATGAACAGTACATCTTTTACAAGAATCTCTTTACCTGGACTGTGACTATGTTGAAGAAGGGGGGCATTTTCATATGCTCATTTGACAAGAGAGATCTGGAAGGTCAAAGGGGAATGGCTTGAGATACTTTGGTTACAGACAAAGGGTGGTTAAGATTTCAGAAATTATGTTTTATGAGGTGAGGTATGGAGTTCAATATTAGTTCTAAGTACCTTTTCTCTCTCTATCTTAAGACATGGAGGCAACAGGGAATAATGCATATTCATCGATCCAAGGCTTAAAAGAACCGTTGTCTGACCTCCTGTATAACACAGGCCAGAGAACTTCCCCAAATAATTCCCAGAGCAGATCTTTTAGAAAAACATCCCATCTTGATTTAAAAATGGTCAGTTATAGAGAATCCACCAGAACCCTTGGTAAGTTGTTCCAATGGTTAATTACTGTCAAAAATGTATGCCTTATTTTCAGTCTGAATTTGTCTTGTTTTACTTCAAACCATTGGATCATGCTATACCTTTCTCTGTTAGACTGAAGAGCCCATTATTAAATATTATTAAATATTCCTGATGTAGGTACTTATAGACTGTAATCAAGTCACTCCTTAACCTTCTCTTTGTTAAGATAGAAGGAAGGGGTTGATTGGCAATGCTGATCAGACTGTACACCCCAACTGGTATGAGTAGTGCTGATCTTGTACGTAGCAACAGTGCAATTCTGAATGACATTGGTGAAAATGACGGACACTGAAAGATGGATTTAATGTAGCTCTTACTAATATACTGTAAGGATTAAGATAAAGATATCAATAGATTTCAGACCAGAAATATTTCTCTCCTTATACTGTACTGGTCTTTTGACATTTGAACGATACAAGACAGAAGAACTGTTCAGTCTCTTTATAATTTTTCTTCCACACCATATACAGTATGCTTGTCTGGGGAGAAGCACATAATTCACCTCATTTGTCACCATCTTCCCTCTTTCACGGTTCATATAAAAGTTTACAGGTGACTGTGGCAGAAATCCAAACCTGCACACAAGAACTGAATGTATATCCACAACTGAAAAGCACGCAGAGTGTAAGCTGAGTAATTCAAATAAACTGTTTCTAAACATCTTCCTTTAACATTACTATTTTACTGAGAGATAACATTTAGATAATATTTACGTGGGAAAAAACTGTATTATGTCCTATTACCCGGCTCAGGTATACTTGTCATATGAAATGCATAAGGTAATGTACATACCAAACCAAGATATAGACTAACTTAAGTTTCTACTGATGCTTTTATAACAACATAGGAATAGGGAGTAGTATCAGAATAACACACGGCTATTTACTGGCTTTTGGTGGGTAGAAGCTGTCCTCTACATCTTTGCTGGAGCACTTGGGACATCTGATGTCCCCTCATTTTAAGCCATCATCACTGATGAGGACCCATGCATTTTCCCCAGTCTTCTGGTTGAGTACAATTGGATGAAATTCCAGTGAGAGCCCCTCACTACCTCTCTCAGCATGGACACTAGTGAATTGTGCAAGACACTCATTCCTTAATCAGGGGAAAGTGCTGATTCTCCTGTACCCCCAAATTCCTCCCAGCCTATGGAACAAAAGTCTGGAGAACTGTCATTATATATTGAGCATTAAATACTATACATCTATACACGCCCACCCACTCCCACACCAATTGAACGTATATTTGCATTGCTCTGTCTTGATGCCTGTTATGACTTAAATTGAAATGTCTTGCTTATTGCATTTTTATATCTTTTTTGAAAATTATTTTCTAAAAATGAAATCAAAACTCAACAAAACCATCTGTGCTCCACTTGTTCAACTTTCAAATCTTTATATCCAAAGTGTGAAAGAATCACATACAGTATCTTTATACACCTTCCACGGGGCTAAATGATGCTTCCCTGGGCATTTCTCACCACACTTGCTGCACAGATTTAGGAAGAAAAACATTTATGTGAGCAAGTAATTGATGTACAAACTAAACTGGAACATAGAACTGCATCACAGCAAACAGCAGGGCTTACAATGCCACATTTTGCTAAATTCTGGCCTCATTCCTCATGGAAACTATGATATTATATAGACAGATACTCAAATATATTTTTATATATGTATAAATGTGCGCCCACTGTATAATAGAAGGTTAAAAACAGATGGTTAGAACATCAAGTTTTACCCCGCATAACATTTATTGACAAAGGTGGACATGGGCTAACGATTGCTAAACGTTCTACTCACATCAGCATAATGGCCTTTCATATCACAGCGGTTACAATGTTTATGCCAATAAGCTCTCTCAAGGCACTCCCTAGAACAGTGTCCAGGCAAACAGCAGTTGAAACAAAACCGTGCTGGGCAGGTATTTTGTAGGTGATCTCTCTCTGCACACAGGCAACAAGGGGGAATTTTCTATGGAGAAATAGAGAAAGAAGGATCTTAGGTGAAAACATTTCAACTGTTTAAAGTATTTAAAAAATAATGACTGGTGAAACACAAACCAAAATGAGCGCAACCCCCCACAAATCATAATGTTCATAATTATGTATTCTCAGCTGGGACAGTAAGATTATAGTGTTTCTTCAAGATTTCTTACTTCTTAAACAAGAGAAATACAAGCGAACGTAATTCCATATACAGTACTTCCTGGTCCTTGTTTCTTCTCAAGTTTCATGAATTACTGCATACACTTGTACTACTTTCAACGAAACAACAACAATCATGCTAAGAGGAAAGGAACATTTTGATTTGAGACAAACTTTTCATACCTGAACACTGTGTGCTCAAATTTTGGATACAACTTGTATGAAAGATGTGTAAAATGCATGTAAGATGTGAAAGATGTGTAAAATCAAGTTGGTTTATATTTCCTTTTTTAAAATACTGTTTTAAAAAATGAAAAAGCTGTCTCTCTTAGTGGCATGCTGTGATATGTAACACAATGGACTCTAACGATTTGCCTCTTTATCTATGCCAGTGGTTCCCAAACTTGTTCCGCCGCTTGTGCAGGGAAAGCCCCTGGTGGGCCGGGCCGGTTTGTGTACCTGCCGCGTCCGCAGGTTCGGCCGATCGCAGCTCTCAATGGCCGCGGTTCACTGCCCCAGGCCAATGGGGGCTGCTGGAAGCGGTGCGGGCCGAGGGATGTACTAGCCGCCGCTTCCAGCAGCTCCCATTGGCCTGGAGCAGCGAACCGCAGCCACTGGGAGCCGCGATCGGCCGAACCTGCGGACGCGGCAGGTACACAAACCGGCCCGGCCCGCCAGGGGCTTTCCCTGCACAAGCGGCAGAACAAGTTTGGGAACCACTGATCTATGCCATAAAAGTGAATGTTCATACTTTTGAGATTCCCGTGTATGCGTACTAGTGCATTTATGGAGTTATAAAATCAAACTATTGAAAGCCTGTTCTGAAGTGGTGTCCATTTTAAGCCAATTTCCCTAATGACTGAGTGTGTTATTTGAGGCTCAAATGGCCACTGGATGGGAATGACTGATAGTCACTGAGAAACTGGTTTTACATAGACACGTCCATAGATTTGGAATAGGAAGCAGTCTCAGAAGGTGTAGGCTTTGCAAAATTCTCAGAGCTTTTACAGTCTTTTCTGTTGGGAGTGGTTAAGTCATGCTCAATAGAGACTGCAGCCATTTCCACATAATATTTTACATAGTACGTGTTTTTAAAAAAAAAACTGAAGATGAATATTTTAGGTAAAAACTTTCCCTGTTTGTTTTGTTGAAATTTGAGCTGTTTGAGGTCACATTTAATTTCATATTTTCTATGATGGCAAAGGGAGGTAAATAATCTTTAAAACAATTCTTTGCCAGGGCAATAGGTACTAAGTCTAGATGCTGTTCCTTCCTAAAAATTGTTTCTCTTTACTTTAGTTCTTTTTCTCTGAGAGTCCGTATAATATAAAACAGTTAAAAAATGTAAAATATTCTTTTAGGATCTCAACAATATGTCCTTACATTGTACTTACCTTTATTTTCTCTGTATTCATTTGTAATTGGGAGAGATTTTAACTTCATACCAAAAAAAATCGTAACACCAACTAAAGCCTTTTTTAACTTTGTAAATTAAATTAGTCTTGTCCAAGAGACTTTATTGTCAAATTTCAACCTGGAACAAACTTTTAAGCCAAATGACAAACTCTTGAAATAGGGTGGCTCAGAGCGGGCTCCCTCACCCTGGATGTCTGTTTGCAAGCAGTCCTCACACTCGCATTCGTAAATTCACCACACTGCACTTTATTTAAGAGTGTCTTACGTCGCCCCACCACAAGGCTTTTCCCGTGTGTCACTGTACCGCCTAGGCACTGAGTCGAGGTGGGGGAGAGAGGTTTCATCTCTCTCAGCTCCTAAGCTTCTTTGCCTCTCCTCCCAGCCCCGCTTCTCTCCCATCCTGCTCCCATGCAACAGTCCCCAACTGATGAGCTGGATCCCCTTGTGAACTGGCTAATCACTCAGTCCTAATCAATTATCTTCCAATCTGGACCATAAAGGGATGTTTATAAACTTCACAGCATGGTGGGCCAGCTCTAGGCCAACCCAAAAGCGTGTTAACTAGTAACCACAGAACTGGCTGCCTCTAAAATAAATTAAAATATTGCATTTACCTTTGGAGTCGGACAGTTTTTGGACAAATGACCCCGTTTATCACAATTTCTACAAGTAACATTTTTGTCTGTTGCATAGTATCTGCTGGTGCGTCTCAGGGGTGCATAATTACCAATCTGTGCCTAGGAAAACAAGAAAAAAAGATGCATCTATTATTTGGGCTTTTGTGGTTTAGTGCTTTGCTGAATTGTATTTTTGTAGCTGTCAGTGCTGGTACGTTCAGTTTGAAATCTAATATTGTACTTGTACATTTGTCAACCATTTAGCGCTGAAGTGGATAGTTCTGTTCTCTTAAACTTTGCCCTACATGCGTCTAAATGACTGGCTGCTAAATCACTGGCAGACATTTTTGTCTTTTTTTCAGACTACAACGAAAGAATAATTAGAAAGGTTTGTCTTCTTCCGAAAATCTCCAGGATGAACTGTAGTTCCCCCCAAATTGCACATGTAGCTAACATTAATTACAAATACAAGTCACCATTCAACAAGGGTAGACACATTCCTTAGAAGAAATATAATGCTGTAGGGAGAGCTATTAAACCGGCATTTTGCACCATGACACATTACAGTGAACCTGCAAAACACACAACTGTGACCTCACATGTTATCTCCACGGAAGCAGAGGAAGCTGATAATTCTCTCTCTTGCTCCTGAAGATTTATTTAGTACCAGTAAACATCAGGGTTTTTTAAAAAACAGACAGGATGTTGGGCCTAGAACTAGGACAGATGCAGCTGTCACAAGCCAAGCTGAAAGATTGAGGGCCCCTGCATATGGAATAGGGCTGCCAATTTTGGTTGGACTTATTCCTAGAGGTGTCATCACATGACATAATCTTTAATTAAAAATTAATCTTTAATTCCTGGAGACTCCAGGACAACCATGGAGTGTTGGTAACCCTAATATGGAAGCATTATTGGACCTTACTGGAGCTGGTTGTGAGACAGAGAAAGAGGGACCCTCAAGAGGTCTGAGTACCGTGCTCCTCTTAGATAGTCTGGGGCTATTAGGATTAACTTTCTTCCAGACCCTCCAAAAGGAGGGGTATGTGAGTAGGGCAAGACAAGAAGTCCCACCAAATGATAAACGCATCATAAGCAAGTGCAGCTAGAGGCTGAAGAGTCTGGTTCTGCTTCAGAAAGCTGCTGATGTCTCATGGATATCTTTAAGAAAAATTAATAATTCTGCTCACACCTTTACTCTATTTTTTTATTTTCTGTTTATATAGGGACACCTGTGTGAATAAAAGAATTTTTTATTTTTTAAGAATTCCTCTCTTCTTTCTGCCTATTCCACATCTGATATCTTAATGCTCTGTTTCTGACATCACGGTTGGAAGCGGTGGGAAATGATTATGATGTCAAGAAAGAATTATTACTTCAAATTGAAAATAAGGAGCTGGGGTAGATGAACTCTTAAAAAGCAAATATCCTCTTTTCATGTAAACTAGTCTTACCAACAAAGAATGGAGAGAGAAAGAGAGAAACACAGAAATACATGATATATAAGAATGTTTTCCAAGTATATTGTTCACGAGGGATCAGTGGGTCTATAATAAGGGGTTTCATTCATAAGGTTATGCCCCATCTTTTAAAAACAACCTACAATATTTGGAATAATTTATTAGGCTATATTACCTCTTGGTCTTTATCACTGATGGACCAGTCCACTCCATCTTCTCCTGCAATACAGATATATTGTGAAATATATTAATGCACTGAAAGTTATTTTGTAAATTCAACCACAGGTGATTTCTATGTAGTCACTGAAAAGAGACAAGACCAGACTGTTTTTAAAAGCACATCATTGGCAAATCTAGTTTCACTTTCAGCAAAGGGACACTACCAATCTGTTTGGCTCCAAATTTGACCTACCTTATAATTAAAACGTGCTTTGTCGTGTGTGTTTTGTTAAACAAGGCATCAGCTAGGGAAGAACTCACCATGTGGTACGTGGCACAGGCTCTGAAGTACTGCACTGCTGGTTATACAAATTACATTTAACTGCTGTCTGTCAAGGCACACAGAACCCTTAGAAAGTCCGCGGTCACCCTCATGGACCTCTAGGATTTCAGAGACACAAGGTGGGTGAGATAATATCTTTCATTGGACCAGCTTCCATTGGTGAGCGACACAAGGCATGTCTACACTACAGACTTAAGTCGACATAAGTTAGGTCGACGTGCAGCCATTACTGCAGTGGCTGATGTCCACACTACTCTCCTTCTGCCAGTGCTGCACATCCCCTCTCAGCCAGCAGTATCGGCCAGCTGCCCGGGCTTCTTACCTCCCCGTTCCCCGCCAGGGGCAAGAGAGGGATATCCGCTCAGGCTTCTTGCCTCTCTGAGCAGGGAGCTGGGGGCAGCCAGGTTCTAGCTGCCCGGCTTTCTTGCCAATTTCACTGCTTCAGCATGAAGCCCTGAAATGGACAAGACAGCCAACAGCTGATATAAGTAATGCGGTGTCTACACAGAGCCTGCTCCGCCCTAACTACACCGACATAAGCCCTACGCCTCTCGTGGAGGTGGAGTTATGTCACTGCAGTAGGGCACTTACATCGGCGGGACAAGGCTGTAGTGCGTACATTGGCATAATTAGGTCAACATAAAGCAGCTTACGTCGACCTAACTGTGTAGTGTAGACCAGGCCACAAGCTTTCAAGCCACACAGAGCTCTTCTTCAGTTCTGGGAAAGGTTCGCCCAGCATCAGAGCTAAATATAAGGTGGAATGCAGATTGTTTAGCATAAGTAAAAAGAACAGGAGTACTTGTGGCACCTTAGAAACTAACAAATTTATTTGAGCATAAGCTTTTGTGAGCTACAGCCCACTTCGTCAGATGCATAGAATGGAACATACAGTAAGAAATATATATACATACAGAGAACATGAAAAGGTGGAAGTAGCCATACCAACTGTAAGAGGCTAATTAATTAAGATGAAGTATTATCAGCAGGAGAAAAAAAACTTTTGCAGTGATAATCAAGATGGCCCATTTCAGACAGTTGACAAGAAGGTGTGAGGATACTTAACATGGGGAAATAGATTCAATATATGTAATGACCCAGCATAAGTAGTTAGCACATATTGTAAGGGACCATTCAAGGTAGAGTGACCTGTTAACACCTCTGCAGTCATGGGACAAAAAGAGGAGGTTAGTGGGTTACAGATTGTTGTGATAAGCCATAAATCCAGTGTGTCTGTTCAATCCATGATTTGAATTTAAGCTCATCTTTTGAAAGTGTTGCGCAGGTTTCCTGAGTCTCCTCATCCTCATTTAGTGCACAAATGAGAAAGTCTCCGTGCACTGAGTTCCGGTGCCTGAACCCGGACTGGCCTGCAGCAGCCCAGACCTCTAATTCCAGAGGAAGTCCTGCTCAGCCCTGCACTGGAGCATGCCCAGTGCAGACAGAATCTTTGGAGAATGCAGCTGCTAAAATCTAATAAGTTTTTACTGAGCGTGTGCGAACAGCAATATTTCAGAGGCTTATAACTTGGCCAAATAGAGGCAGATTTTCATGGAGATAGCAAAAGGAAAATCCCCGCCAAATCTGAAGTCCCTGCTCCAAAGCTTTTCAAATAATTTTTTTAACATTGACAAAACAATGTATTTTTCCTTAGCCTCATACTTTGAAACAGCAGAACCATTCTGGCTGGAGTATTTAAACAAACAAGGACACCTGCCATGGAAAATCTCAGCCCAAATGGTTGACATTTAGCAACGTTATAATAAACTGAAAACAAGATCTTATAATGGGAAGTGAAGGACAACCTTCTAATAAGTGATGCTACCAGCCCTGCCTATAAGATGCATGAATAAATAACTTGCATTTATGAACAGCAAACACTCTAAATATAGAGTCCACTGATAATTAAAGGTGGCAAGCCCCTTCCATTTATTTTTTAAATGTCAAAAAGGTAGGTAAAGGATGGCATTTGAGTGCAAATAAATATATTTTATAACTATTTATCCAGTTCTTATATTGACCCTATCACCATGGTATCTGAGCACTTATTCTAATGCACCCCACATTATTTTAGACAATAATGTCAAGTTTTCTGGACCAGAAATTGTCTCCAGATATTGGTGTATGATTCCCATCCCTTGTCTTCAATGGAAACTGCTTGTTTGCATCCAAAGGATAATTTGGCCCTACTGTATGCACTTATTAAAAAAAGTCAGCCTTCAAGTTTACACGACAGGTATACTGTTGAGAATATTTTCTATTTTTAGGAGTCTGTCACAGAAATTCATTCATGAACAAAATACGGATTAGGAGACATTTTGGTCATAAAACCTCAGATCACATCTAATAAAGACTGTACTAATGAATTACAGAGAACAGAACCGTTTTTTACAAGAAAGAATTCTGAATTGAATAAAGTATGTTAGAAGAAATTCTCAAAATAAAAATCTAGAAATATTATTTAATATGCTTAGCATACCCTTAAGGTTTCAGAACACATACAACAACATTCTGGTCAGTGAAACAGAATCCCTCAATATATAGTCAAAATTTTAAACAATTAAAATCCAACTACATAAAAGGCCATGCCATACACGAATGAATGCCCCACATTTCCCAGGACCAGAGGTTTTACAAACACTTTTTTACAAATTGGGAGCAAACATTTCTTATTATGGTTCAATCCTGCAAGGTGCTGAATACTGTGGCCTCAATCCAGCCAAGTACTCAAACACATGCTTAATATTAGGCATATGAGTAGTCTCACTGTCTAAACATAGGGACACCATGCGGGGTGAAGTCCTCAGGGACCCCATGTTTTTCATAGCTGGAGAATTTGACCTGAAATCCAAACCTTGCAGCTGAACTGTGCTCCAGAATCCAAGCTTTCATGTAAAAAATTATGAGCCCCCACATTGTGTAGATAAATATAAAACCAATACACAAGTGTGAACTGGTGTCGTTTGTTTGTAGACAGCCCAAAACAACAGTTCCAAGGGGAAGAACTTTCTTCTTCATTTTAATAGGTCACTGATTATGAAACCCAAAGGGTAACAGTCATTACTTTTAAAGCCCCAGTACTGCAAACAGTCACATGCTGCACATGGGACAATTCACAGGAAAAGTTCAGAACAAGTGAAACTGTTTTTCTGGTTCTGGACCAATATTGTCAAGTATTTCATAACTGATTATCTGAGCAACCTCTAACCACCTCAAATTTCCCTACCTAGCTGCCAAAACCTCTGCTTCCCCTACGGCGATTTCTAAGACACAGTACTAGCTTAATACAAAAATCCATGGCACATAGAAAAGTGAAACTGAGTGGACAGTTGAAAGTAATTAACACAGAAGCTAGGGTATTGACGGTGCTGTTCCAATTAAATTGCCCATTATTAAATTAAGTTGCTGCAATTTTTCCAGTGTGATACCCAGAAAAACTGCAGACTTGAGGTCCAACTTATTACAGAGAACAGAGGGTCTTGGTTTTATTACCTAGAAAGGCTACATATTGAAACATGAACAGTCCTGCTTTTGTATCCATTTAGAAAAATCTTATTTTTTTGTACATAGATTTCAATTCAATTTCAATTCAATTTAAACTGATGTAGTTGCAATGTTTCTGGTACCTTGAAAGAAGAATTTATGATATTCTGAGGCAGTGAATAAGGCATTACTGGCTGGGATATTTATTAAACAAATCACCAAATATTGCATAGGTTGACATGTATACCCCCCAAAAACCTAAATTTTAAATTTCTTGCTGAAAAAATACCTTTTGAAGTTTCAAAACTTTTTTGGTGGCTGTAGATGTGTCTAAACTTATTACATACAAGCTGCCTTTTTTCTGTTGGTTGGAAAGAAATAAAAGAAAATAGGACCAAAAGAAACACATTCTACAGTGAAATTGTGGGAAAATCTCTGAACACCAACATCAGATAAGTTTCAATACATAATTAAAACAAAGCCAAGTAAATGTACTTTTACTTAACTTTTATTTATTTATTTACTGCCAGTGTCCATGAGTTTTGGATAAACACAGATTAGCTGTGTTCTGAGCTTCTTTGATCTCCCTTTTCTGTCCCTGCTTCTTCAAACCCAAACCACTCGATTTACCATTTTTTCTCCCACTCTGATGCATGACCTCAGCACTAAACCTTGCCTACCACCTGCTCCGAAGCGCGACTGAACTACCAATTCCTGCTACATTCTCAAAGCAGTATACTGAGTATTTCTCTACTCCCATTTCCAGCCCTAGACCAGCAGCCTCCCAAGGCTAGCAACCTTATAAGAGGCATCAGGCCTGGTCTAAACTACAGGGTTACGCCAACATAAGCTGCCTTGTGTCAACCCAGCTGTGGAAGTGTCTTCATTTAAATTGAGCTCCCGCCCATGTAAGTGCCTCTCTAGGCTGACTTAATGCCACCACCTCCCCAAGTGGCATGATGGGCGATCACTCGTTACCGAGTATGATCCTCGTCCATGGGAGTTATGGGTCCTCAGGTGGCTAATGAGGCCAATCCTTGAACCACAATTTCTATTACAATGAGGGCAGATATTTTCAGGCTCAGCAGGCGGCTGTTGACCATGACTGGAGACCAGTCTCTCTTTTCTCCTGTGCCTCTTGTCCTCTTCGGCATGTTGGCGAGCAAGTTCAAAATGTAGGGGACCATCACATAGGACTTCACTCCATTTTAAGTGATCCTGGGCAAGTGTCTCCCAAGTATCAATGTCAATATTACATTTTTTTAGGTTGTCTTTCAGCAAGTCCTTATAACGCTTCCGTTGTGCACCCACGTTACGGTACCCTTCTTTCAGCAGAGAGAACAGGACCTGTTTTGGGAGGCAATGGTCTGGCATCTGGACAACGTGACCAGTCCAGCGGAATTGCTTACGGATGATCAGTGCCTCGATACTGGTGGTCTTTGCCTCTTCCAGAACACTGATATTGGTGTGCCTGTCTTCCCATTTGATCTTCGGAATCTTACAAAGGCAGCATTGACTGTCCTTTGTCTCAAGGACTTTCAAGTGGTGTCTATAGGTTGTCCAAGTTTCGGACCCATACAACAGTGCTGGGAGAATAACGGCTTGATAAACAAGTTGGAAGTTTCTCAGTTGGAAACCAAGTGGCATAGCGTCACAGTCAATGTAATTAGGTCGATGCTGCATCAGTGTAGACACTGCGTTGCTTATGTTGACTGTTACTGGCTTTCAGGAGTGGCTCCACATTGACAATACAATAGATACACGTGCTCCTGGTGAGGACACGCACAACCGACAAAAGGATCCAAGTGTGCAAACACACAAGTGATTTTATAACTGGTGGTTGTATGCCAACATAAGTTAGGTTGACATAATTTTGTACTGTAGACATAACCTAAGAGTCATTGCTGGCAGGATCAATGGAAGAAGAGGTAGCTGAGTGCTTTGGCAGGAGAATGGGGGGTTGAGATGAGATGATTAAGAGCTGCTTGGTAGGAGCTGGGAGCAGATATGAAGTGACAGACCTAGTAGTTTACAGCTCATAATTTGGCCATCCATCTGTCCATATGGTAGTGGGGTGGTGGAGCCTGTGGGTTTGACATGGGAGGGGAGAGGAAAATTAGGTGGCTGGTGTGAGGTCCTGCCAGGGACTAGAGCTGAGGTCATGCTGCAGGGTAGAAGAAAGGATGACTGAAGCAGTAAGGAATGTGGATGGAGCAGACACACACAAGGGGAGGATGTGTGAAGGTGACCCATGTTCATCTGAAATTCTTGGACAAGGTATGGATATAAAATAAAGAAATACCTGCTAATTTAAAACAAAAGTTACATTTACCTGGAAGTCTTTAGGAGAATGAAACTTACCTTAAATCGGTTAAAATTAGTTAAAAACTAATGGTCTCTCAACTGAATTTAGTGCAGAATGAGAATGTTTCAATTCTAATTTCTCATTTCCTGCTTGTTAGTAGGAAAATGCTCCAATCAAGTAAGCAGCCATAAAGTAAGACTATCCTTTTTTAACTAGACAGCTAAACTAAAAAAACCCCCAAAACAACAACAAAAAACCACCCTATTTTTAAAAAAAGTATAGTTCTTTCTGAAGCTTGGAGAAAAAGAGTGGAATTTTCCTTTAAAGGAAAAAGACAGAAAATGTTGGGTTCAGAAGAGGATAAAAACTATTCCGAGATGATAATTCTCTGTATGTGGAAAAATGTGCAAAGATTTAACCCCATGTTTTTAGTACTCAATAAAACCACTCAGCTATATTTTAATTCCTGTTCTTCTGGGGGTTCACATGTCCCCTTTTCACTTCACACTTTTTGGGGGGCATAGCTATAAAGGACTGTAAAAACATAATGCATCTCTTTACTAAATATCGTTTTATCCATTTGATGTAGGCATTCACAAACATTTTGGTAATTAAATTCTTTATACTGTCTATGGTTTCTTCGGTAATTATTTTATTTATGCAAAAACACCACTTTTCTTTCTATTTTTTTAAACAGCTCACAGTGCCTTTGTGAAAGGATATTAACATTTTAAAAAATTATTCTGATAATCTCCCCTGGGGCTTTCTCCATCTCCAGTAAGTGACTGCACCAGAATCTCATAGCCACAAATGCATGTGTTATTCAAAGGAAGCTGCTAATTTTCACATGGTATCAAGGTAAACCCCCACAACACAGACCTGCCACACTTAAATTATTTTATTTTTAATGGATTTTCTCATACTTCAATTTTTTTTCTACCTTTGTCATTTTTGGTAACCACATTAAGATACTTTTTATTTATGATTCATTCATTCACATAATTTGATGAGAAAATACATGCCTGTTTATTCTTCTGTTTAGCCTTATGAACTTTTTGCATTTGGATCGGAGGGTGGGGAGGAGAATGGCTTTGTGTGCCTCCAGCTGATATCAACATTCTGTCAGTTTGGGGTGTGGTGAGAGAGGAAGGTGCCAAAGTAAATGAGAATGGGGATGATGTTAAATGTATAGTGCTTGGATGGAAATAAGAGTTCTGTGAAAGGAACATCTTCTATTAGGGTTACCATTCGTCCGGATTCTCCCGGACATGTCCGGCTTTTTTAGTTAAAAATAGCGTCCGGGGGGAATTTGTAAATGTCTAAAAATGTCCGGGATTTCCCCCCCATGAAGAGCGGGGCACGGCTGACAGGGCAGCCGGACGGATCCTGCCACTCGCATGGGGCTCCGGCAGCCAGAGCCCCTCCTCCGCTTCCCCCTCCGGCCGGGCACTAGAGCTCCTCCCCTCCCCTCTCTCCCCCCCCCTTCTCAGATCACCACCTGCTGGGCCGTTCACATCGGCCTCCGGCAGCTCTCGAGCTCCTCCCTCCTCCTCCTCCTCCCCTGCTGCCCAGCGCGCCGCACAGTACGGTACGGGGGCCAGGAGGTGGAGAAGGGGCAGGGGGGTTCTGGAGGGGGCAGTCAGGGGACAGGGAGTAAGGGGTGTTGGATGGGTCAGGAGTTCTGGGGGTCCTGTCAGGGGGCGGGGAGTGGTTGGATAGGGCGTGGAAGTCCCCAGGGTCTGTCTGGGGGAGGGGGTGTGGATATGGGTTGGGGGTGTGGAGAGGGGTCGAGGCAGGCAGGAAGCAGAGGGGGTTGGATGGGTCGGGAGTTCTGGGGGTCCTGTCAGGGGACAGGGAGCGGTTGGATAGGGCATGGGAGTCCCGGGGGTCTGTCTGGGGGCGGGGGTGTGAATATGGGGTGGTGGTGTGGATAAGGGTCGGGGCAGTCAGGGGACAGGTAGGGTCCTAGGGGGGCAGTTAGGTTGGGGGGTTCTCAGGAGGGGGCAGTCAGGGGACAATACAGTTCACCAAATGCACCTATAGAGGGTGCTACTCCGGGGGGAGGGGAGGCAGTGGACCTTTTTGCTTGCCTCTGAGACATGGCAAAGGTGGAAAAATCCAGCATTTCCAAGCTTGGCAGGGCAATGGATTCCCTTAAGAGAGAAAATAAATTTAGGCTGAGCTACAACTTAACTGATTCCTTATCTATGATCCTAAAACGTGGGTTATTCTGCTACAACCAATGATCTAGGGATTTGAAGATGTCACCTTTGCAGTCAAGCATACAACTTGACCTGACTTTCAATCTCTGGGAGAAATGAGACCTTTTACACCACTAGGAACATTGCACTTCAGTCCTCTCAGCAGGGAATCTGGAGAATTTTATCCTGTTCTCTGGAGTGGTTAACCCCAGTCTAAGACTAATCGCATCTCCAATGTCTCCAAAAGACATTATGCATACTAAGTTTCTTTGGTAACAGTATGCAGTGAGCTTAATGTTTGATGGCACTTGTGCATTCAACTTTACAATGAAACAAACATACCCTCTAAAATAGGCGAGAGATTTTTCTTATGGTGGGAAGATGGATGCAAGCATCCCTGGTTTCCAAATCACATTAAAATCTTAATTCCATAATTGTATTTAATTATAATATAATCACAATTATATTAGACTGTAAGCTCTCTGGGGCAGGGGCCATCTCTGACTCATATGCCTGGCACAATGGGATCCTGGCCTCTGAGCGTTACCTCATTACAAATAATTAATAATAACTTTAAATGGGTAAAGATAAATCCCTTCTCCATAAAAGACTAATTTAATGCCAGCAGGTTTTAAATGCATCTGAATCTTCTAGGGTTTCTAAATCAGTAAATATTTTTGTTTACCTCATTGCGACTCAAATATCATTACAATAGAATTTTCTGTGATGGAGTTTTCTGATGTTTTTTACAGCTCTTGTTTTAGAAATGGAACAGAAATTTGGCAAGTTCTCTGCGTTTAATGTGGTACAGTTTTCCAAGCTATCATGGAAAATTCACTTCTTGTTGTGACTGGTGGTAACAGATATACAAAGTTTGTCTTTTGCTTACAGGAAAATAAATGTTTGAATTTTGATGTTGAGTGCATATTCTGTTTATTAAAACCAACAATCAATTTGCTGGTCATAGAGTGCAGAGACATTATTATTACCACCACCACCCTCAGTAGAACTCCAACAATGTGCTTGGCAATGTACAGGGAAAAAAATATGAATTTCTCCAATGACCTTTCATTCTAAATACAACACAGACAATACAATCCACACATAATACTGTGTGCACATACAGATCAGAAGCACACAGAACACAGATGAGGCATAGATGAAAGAACAAGGCTTCATGATGTTTTTTATACCCTCAACCTCCTGACTTGAGTCTTTTAAATGAACTTTTTCAATGCACAATTATCATGCAAAGGCCATGTGGAAAGACCAGGTTTTAAAATGAGGTTAATTAATCAATCATATTTATTATAGCAGTGCTGAGAGGCCAAGAGAGAACTGGGCCCTATAGTGCTAGGCACTGTACACACACAGTAAGAAAGAGTCCCTGCCCCCCAAAACTTACACTCTATAGGGGTTCTACTCTGAAAAATAATGGAACAAAAACGGCCAAAGTATTTACCTTTATTTGTTTATACTGGGAAAGCCCATGCAAATTTTATTTTCAGTTTAAAAACTGTGCACTAGTCCCTAGGCAACTCAGATTGTAGAAACTGACTCAATTCTGCTTCTTCTTCTTTTCTCTCTCTCTATTCCTGCCACTCTTCAAGGCAAAAAGCCACTGTTTCCAAAAACTTCTGATTCTGCAGAAGTACAAGAAATGCTATTCCAACAAGATAATATTTTTCCTCGATTAGGCTGTATTCTAAATACCCATATATTACAGGCTGAAATCTGTATTGACAATGGCTGCTTTACAGGCATCAACATATGGTCTCTGCTAATAACCCTGTTGCTTATTCCACTTAAGGTTTCCATTCAAAGAACATCTAAATCGAATTGAACTCAGGTGGTTCACAACATTCTAAAATGCAACTGGATGAAGAGAGGCACCTCCAGGCCTAAACAACAGTTGGCAGCGTTTATGACATATTTTCAAAAGACTGAACGCAGACCTAGATCCTAACGTTCCGATTTCCCCAGCTCCAGTAGTGACTGATGAGTACAAAACTTGTATGGAGGGTACTGGCATCTGAACTCACACAACCCTAGGCAGCAGATCAAGGCTAAATGATGCAGAGAAGCAGCAGCAGATGAAGCTCTGGATATACCACTCGGTCATTTTGAAGAACTATTTCTGG